CTGGTCTGAATTGATTAAATTTCGTACACCGACGTATAATAATGAGTGGCTCTTAATTTCGCCATCCGGTTACAGTTTGGCGCGTTTGCAGCCCCGCGGAGTTCGTGAAAGTCGCTTTGTTCGTTCGTCCGTACACTTGTAAGAGTTCTTGTTCCTGCCTGGAATCGAACATATTTCGTCCAGCCTATGGCAAGTTACTTCGCTGACTGAGTTATCCCGGTTTGTAGTAAAAATACAAAAAAAAAGTACAGATCATAAAAGTTTCTGCCAGTTTTTGTTTTTCAACAAACTTGGGGGTTGAGGCGAAGGTTTTTTTTTTAATTTTCCCGGTCGCAAAAATGGCTGCTTTCGCCATTGTTCTGACTTACACACGAAATCAAAATGAAACCCGCGTTGATTATTTTGCAGTTTCGTGTAATGCGTTTACGCTAGAACCGGAATGTGTCTTCCGTGAAACCAGATAATCTCATCGTTTTCTGTTACTTTTATCGTTTACAAGTTATACCACTCGCCTTTGTCCTGGACCTAGTTTCCCTCTTGACACAGGACATTGCTCTCGGGTGGATCCCCTGCGAGATATATCGCTTTCTACCCCTTTCGTTACATTTTCCCCTCCTCCCACAACCCTCACCAGTCATTGTTCACAAAGCATAAGCGAATGGCATCGTATCAGGTGTAACGTACAGCATGCACACTAAATTACTATACATGTTCATGGGCAATAGCATTCCCGCTAAAGGTTCGCCTGGTTGCGTTGCACTGCGAGTCCTGTGTCTGCAATACAAGTTTGCCAAACTGTCGTCGTAACATATGCGAGCATCACTAAACCTGTCCGAATGTGTGAAAATCCATAGTAAACCTGTCAAGACGAGTCCATACGATGCCAAAGCTGTTTTAAACTGTCAAACTTTCATAATGTGTCATAATCTTTGATAAAATGTCTTCACGTACAGTAAGTACTCGGTCCAACCACACCCATCATAATAAACGTAACGTAACATCATAAAACATTTCCAAAATTTGAAATGTTTCTTATTTTTTAGAGTTTGTGAATGCTGATAATTTAAACAATTGATAATTTCCAGAATTTTTGTAATTCCGAAAATTTCAGTATTTTCAGAATATTAATAAATGTTAAAAACTCAAGATGATTAAAGTATTTTGAAAATTTAACAAATTGAAGAATTTAAACATTAGTTTTCATAATTTGTAAAGTTTTAAAAATGTAAAACCCTTTTTAAACTTTTGCTTTTTGAAATGTTTAAAAAAAATTAAGTTTTGAATATACTCTGAATGTTAGAAGATTGTGGCAAGAACGCTGACGTACAGAATGTTTGTAACCTCGTGACATTTTGTGCTATTCTCAGTAAAGCTTCTGCACACCGAAGATGCTTCCTATCATGTGACCCAGGATTTATTTTATATCTTGTATGGCGCACTGTATTGTTGGTTTCTTGAGTTTGCTGGCCGGAGGTGGTTTATGTTTACAGAATTCACAGATTGAATTTCATATTATTCAACCATTGCGACTGGAAAAATCAGTGACCATTAAGGCGTTCGGCGATTTTGGAAGGTTGTGTTAAGTGCACGGAATTACAGACTAAATATTTTGTTATGCTTCGAAGCCATTGAAATTCTTTTCTATAAGACAATGGTACCGACTTACCTCAGTTGACTCTAGGTGTGTCGTGATTTTCGTTATTTCCGGCATTGTATTTATGATATTGCCTCACCTGGAAATAAGTACAACTCAAATATTTTGAGAAGATTGTACAAACAATCCAGTTTTCCACGTGTCCTCGTTGAAGCATCGCTGTACACAACGAGATTCGTGTTATTTAGACATTTTAGGTTGACAATCAAGCCAGTGTTTATTTTTCGTGGTCTCTGTTTTTAAAGTAAATAAGAGCAGTACAAACATAGATAGTGGTTTTAAGAAGGTGTGGTTTTTGTGCCATTGGTGGGCGTATTCGGAGACTCGTTGCTTTACATAATGCAGTATGTGACAAGGGTTTTAAGGAGACTGTGTTTCATTGTTCAAGAGTGCAGTCAGTCCCCATTTTGGTTTACGTAGTTTGCTATGTAAAACAGTGTGCAGTACAAACCGAGCAGGTTAGCTCAGTGGAAAATTGAACATAGTTCGAGTCTTCTCTTTTATTGACTAACCTTATTAACTTTTATCTCATGGGTTTATCTAGGACTGCAGACGAGTTTAGGATGGTCTTGTTACAGAATGATATATTAGTATTATTGTATTTTAATTGGGTGTTAGTCGTTGTCTGTTATTTAAGTCATACCAACTATACAAATTATAAAATGAAAATTCTAAAATTGGCTATATTTTGGCTACTGGTTACTTCTGTCTTCAGGGAAGAACCATAGATGCTAGTCTCTAATCTTCACCTAGTGGCTCTGTCTAATGGACCCCACGCAGTAGACACTTTCTTTAGTTCCTACCTGAAATGGTGTTTTGTTAAGTGTACGTATGATAAAACTGCTAACTGAAAGAAAATTGGATTGGTACACAGAAGAATAACAAGTGGGGGGTGTAAGAAACAACTGCAGAGAATCTCCTGGGATGTAAATAAACGACGTTGCTTAGGATTAGTGCGTTAAGTGACTTGAAACGTCGATTTGACGAGGTGAGCGCATGTGTACTTTGCCATTAGACAGACAACGTCAACGCTTCGGACACAGTAGTGTGACGATTTTTTCACGCAACCGAAATTTGGGTGCCCAAATAAAAAGTATGTACGTCTTACTAATATGTCGCCTAGCATTCAGAACATGCTGCCTTTGTGTGTTACACGTGTGGACACAACCTCCACACCGATTATAAGTAAATGCGCCTTTACTAAGGCACGAAGCAAAATATCTTGCTTGGAAACTCGTCTCTTCTGCTCTGTGTATTCTGTACGTGTGAAAATGTTATTGGAAATAAGCACCTGCAATGTTGCTGAGTAGTCAGATTGAGCATACACGAGATTTTTCACTTTGAGAAACTGTACGATGATTAATGTGCGTTTAACCTTTCAAGGCCTGTCATAACTATATGTACCACCTACTGTAACAATCAATAACCCAGCATTTTGTTTACAGTTTTCGTATGATTTTTATAATATAACCAGTTGATCTTTGTAATTGAGAAGCGTTTTATTTGAGGTATGAACGGAATTTTTAAATATTGTTACGAGATAGTATAGTTGCGTCATATTGTGATGTTAATTAAAATAATTATTATATTTGTTTACCGTCAAATCACAATAACATAGTAAGATAAGATATGTTACGTTCAGCTTTGGCTTCAAAAGGTTAAAGTTGGGTGATGTTGACGTTATTTGCATAGATGGTCGGTCATTGTTGGGAAAGTATAAGCTGAACAATCCGCAGATACGTTTGTTGCATTTTCTCTTTGGATCGAAGGTTACTGCCCTTCGAATGTTAGGCCAGCTGATGTCCAGTGAAAATTAATCACTGACGAGCTGCTTTCTCTGACACGCATTTCAAGGCCATGCACTGACAGTTTCAACAGATCTAACAAAATCATTTGTGTATCATGCAGCTAAATAAGAACTTTCCCCAGACGCTGGATTATGAAAGCTCTGCTTTTCGAGAGGAAAAACAAACAATTAATAAAAAGGTCATTTCCCATTAGGATTGTGTTATTTCACGTTAATGAATTACATTACATTACTGCCATCTTCAAGTAATTGTTAGTTCTTAGGAGTAACAATTTCAGCTGTTCGCCTTTACGTGCGGCAACTTCTCCGACACGATTGTGTGGCGATAAGGCTAAACGTAGACATTCAGGCGCTTACTGTGGTCACTGTTCTTCTGCATGGTCACGCGTACTAACTACAAACTCTTCACTATATTTGACTCCCTGTGTATGGTGAAACCAACTTAATAAATGCGTTCTTTTATTTCCTCAGAATTACAAAAGGAATTCCTGCAGGTTACGTAATATGTTCTAGGTTCGAATCCAGGTTAGGTTCTGTTATATTTTTATGACTGTATCAACTGTACCCGAC